TTTGTTGTAGTGTATTTACTTAATGTAAAGGGGAGGTAGTGTGGGCCCTCTGTAACTGTATACAACAGTTACTGTGTCATTTTGAATTTTTAGTTTTAGTAATTGGAGATCCCTGCCCATTGTGCGACCCTAGGCTTTACTATTATCAAATGACAGAAGGGGAATGTAACACATGCCCAGGTTACGTACCATTGACTCACTTCGAAGTGGTTATGTGATTTAGACTTGGACCCAAAAAAAGACCGGGGCCCAGTTGTTCCAAAGACCGATTAGCACTAACCCAGTGTTAGATTTTAACCTGTGTTTCTTTTTCCTTTTAATCAAAAGCATTTTGTCAGATAATTTTCCCTTTTCTTTAAGTATCAAATCACCAAATTGTAGACAAAAGGAATTCAAATGAATTTGTTTTTAAAACTTTCATATCTGAATTCATATTTCGTACTAAAATTAACCTTGGGTTATCTTAACCCAGCTTTAAACAACCCAGCCTGGAAGGATAAATGCTGCATGTTAATTTGTTTCACCGCCTTAGTTTTTTCTTTATAGCTTATAACTTTTCATGATCCAAGGCCAACTCAGAGCTCCTGTAACCCAGTAGGGGTCTGTTCATTTTTTAAGGAGGGGGGGGCTTTGTTGGGTGGGATGTGACCGGTAGCTCCTGTATATGAAGACCCTCTCTTCATCAGAATTTTTTGGGGAAGCCACAACCCCGCTCCTTGTATCCCAAGATCAAATAACCAGGATTCAGGTGAATTTTAGCCAGCAAAAATGCTATGACTTTTTTTGGATTGAATAGGTAGTACTTAATGAACAGTGAGACGCAAACTCAGGGTTGCAAACAACAAAGTAAGAAAAATTAGCCTTTCATAAATTTGTCAGCTGAGTTAATGTTCAAATAAAATTGTGAGCAGTTTCACCATATTTTGTTGTAGTATTGGCTGTTGGGTTTTCAAAATGTGGTCATTTTTAGGAAGCCCGCCATCGAGATGTGGTCATCTCTAGGTGGGCAGTCAAAACTACAACAAATACCGGTTAAACTAAAATTGTTGGTTTTAAATTGAATTAAGTTTGTTGGTTAAATGGCCATGAGGAAATTATGTACAAGTGAATAATCACAACACTGAGTTTAAAATCCACAAAACTTTTTATTTCGGACCAAATTTGATTTTTTAGTATGATGTACAAAAAATACAGTAAATGATCTGACCACTGGACCTAACCTTGTGTTATCTTAACCCATCTTTGAGCAACCCAGTCCAGAAGTTTAAAGGCTGCATGTTAATTTGTTTCACCACCTTAGTTTTTTCTTTATAGCTCTAAACTTTTCATGATCTAAGGCCAACTCAGAGCTCCTGTGATCCTGTGACCCAATAAAGGTCTGTTCATTGTTTATGGGGCGGGGGGGGGGGGCTTTGTCGGGTAGGATTTGACAATTCGACCGGTAGCTCCTGTAGATCCTCCTTGTATCCCAAGTTCAAATAACCAGGCTTCAGGTGAATTTTAGCCAGCCAAAATGCTATGACTTTTTTGGATTGAATGGGTAGTACTTAATGAACAGTAAAACTCAAAATCAACATTAAAATCAGTGAAACGTAAACTCAGGGTTGCAAACAATAGAGTAAGAAAAATTAGCCTTTCATAAATTTGTCAGCTGAGTTAATCTTCAAATAAAATTGTGAGCAGTTTCACCATATTTTGTTGTAGTATTGGCTGTTGGGTTTTCAAAATGTCGTCATTTTTAGGAAGCCCACCATTGAGATGTAGTCATCTCTAGGTGGTCAGTCAAAACTACAACAAATAAGTCCCGTATGATATATGCCCGTAATATTCTAGAATCAGTATAAATATTGTCGGAAATATAGAAAGAACCCTGCAGTATATGTATGACAACCCTTGAAAAACACAATATTTTACACCAACGTACAATGAAGTAATCTGGTTCCCTAATTCAGCTCGGAAGTGAACATCATGTAATATTAATGAAGATGAATTTACAGCCATCCAACCACTACATAGTTCTCATTTATAGGTGTTATCTTTAGTTTAAGGACCCCTGTGGTAGTTGCTGTGCATAAGGGAATACCAGTTGTTAAGATGTACATTGTCCCATAAGTTAATAGAGGAATTTTTAAGACGATAGACAGGGCTGTAGCCAGAAAAAAATAAGGACTGAGGCAATATCCATGGTTGAATTCCCCGCCTAGCTATTCAGGGTCTTTATGATGACTACGTACGTTGAAACAAAACACTGCCAGGATCAAAACTTAAATGACAGAGGCAAGTGCCTCGGTTTGCCTCATACTGGCTATGGCCCTGACTGTAGGAAATACAGTGCATCAATGATCTGACTACTGGACCTTAATAACGAGTGGATTTGAATTAGTGTATTTGCTTTAAATTAGTAGCCCGGGAAAGGTTTATGCCAGGGGCGCTCTCAGAAAGGGACACCTTTTTCATGCTTCAGGTATGAAAGGATAGGGATTTCCTGAGTTAAAGTATATGACAGGGTAGACTATCTGTCATTTCGTTCTGTAAAAAGACTAACAGAAGAAATTTGTGAATGTAAAATTGTCAAAAAAAATTAACTGGCTTCTGATTCCTTTATATTAAAATGACAGTGCACATAAAACAGTTAACAGGAAAGATGCATGTAAGGGGTTGGACCTCTGGGCGGAGTCTCACAGCGTGTACAAAATTTTATTGTAACAATGTAATGTTACAGTTGAGATTGGAAATTTACTTTAGTCACAAAACGGATCAAACATATAGGAAATGTCACATGCACATCACCTTTGACTGTCAGCAAATGTTAGGCAGCTCACTATATTTGCTCCCCTTGCAAATATGGATAATTATGATGCAAATGTGCAAATTTATGATACAGCCAAATGTCTAGAAATTTATTGTTTTTGCTCTTAAGGCAAATACGAGTAAACCACATGCTAAAGTGTTCTTTTGGTATCCTGGAAAAACAAGAGCAAATACCACTGCAAATTAGAGGTTTTGCAATATTTTTGCCTGCATTTGAAGTAAAGTGAAAACTGTCATTTTTGCCAAGGATGTAAATTTGAGTAAACTGGTAGAAATGTTGAAGATTTGCCCATGCTGCAAATATGTATCAAATTTGTATCAAACCATTACATTTACTTCACTTTTGCGTATCAATACCTATCTAGCAAATATATGTATTTGCCCACACTTTAGCCGACAGCGCAAATGTAATGCAAATTTGGAGCTCCAAATTTACCACATATTTGCACCTTTCGCAAACATTAGTAAATCCGTTTTTTCGTCCAGTGTGGCAAGCATTTGGGTAACGCACAGTTCGGGTAAATATCAAACACAAATTATGCGATATATACCCAGCTGTCTTAAATGTGTAATCATGGGATGTTACGACTCTTCTTTCTCATCAATTAGATAGCGCAAAAAAGAGCATCATCGTTAAGTCGATGACTGCGAAGTCAAAAACAACTATTTGGATGACGCTACGAATACATTAGATGAAAGGTTTGCTCTCTAGAAAATAGCGTAAGCGATCATTGTCTTAATCGGCGCAGAATAATGGATTGCGACTTAGCCAATCAGATGCGCACATTTGAAGTCATGCGCACTGAATGACTGAAAACACCGTGTACCTCCCATGATTGGTACGATCGATTTGAGGTTACTTGATTTTTGTCCCCCAACAAAACCAATCGTAACTAAAATCTTCTGACTGCGTGCAGAACGTAACGTGGCTGTTAACCTCGAATCAAGGGTAAAGAATTTTCCTAATCATTCAATTTGAAGTTGTCTTAACGTTTGTAAGTGTGCTGCACGGGCAGCGGAGTTAGAACACCATACTGTAGCGGTCGATCAACATTTAAGAATCATTATGAGTAAACCTATCGAAAATCATACTGTATCAAATGAGTTATCTACTGACTCCAAATGTTCTGTAAACAGAATGGGCCCGAAATGATCCTTAACATAAGAGTCCCTTAAGCATCATATGCGAAAAAGATGCAAGGGGTGTCACTCGGGTGAATTAAGGAATGGGTCACTAGAAATTTATAGGAGGGTGATGTGGTTCATGTGGTTAAGTTTTCGCTTTTAACTTTCATAAAAGCAAATCAGTTTCATTAAGAATGATATACTTTCTTAGCCCCTTGACTTGCCATACCCGTTTTTTGCTATTTTAATATTTTGATCCAATGCGACAACTCTTTAGAAAGATTTCTTTTAGTTTGATTCATTTTCTGTTTACGACTATAAGTACAAGGCTGATCGGAAATATTTTTTTCCTGCAAACGGTAACGTTTTCATCTTAGAGAGAAAGTAGGGCGAGAAAAAACGTTAAATCATTATAAAGGAATAAAATATTTTAACATTCTCCCCATTGATTTTAGATCTTTAGCATTAAAATAAATGAAAGAACAGCCAAGGATGTAAATTTGAGTAAACTGGTAGAAATGTTGAAGATTTGCCCATGCTGCAAATATGTATCAAATTTGTATCAAACCATTACATTTACTTCACTTTTGCGTATCAATACCTATCTAGCAAATATATGTATTTGCCCACACTTTAGCCGACAGCGCAAATGTAATGCAAATTTGGAGCTCCAAATTTACCACATATTTGCACCTTTCGCAAACATTAGTAAATCCGTTTTTTCGTCCAGTGTGGCAAGCATTTGGGTAACGCACAGTTCGGGTAAATATCAAACACAAATTATGCGATATATACCCAGCTGTCTTAAATGTGTAATCATGGGATGTTACGACTCTTCTTTCTCATCAATTAGATAGCGCAAAAAAGAGCATCATCGTTAAGTCGATGACTGCGAAGTCAAAAACAACTATTTGGATGACGCTACGAATACATTAGATGAAAGGTTTGCTCTCTAGAAAATAGCGTAAGCGATCATTGTCTTAATCGGCGCAGAATAATGGATTGCGACTTAGCCAATCAGATGCGCACATTTGAAGTCATGCGCACTGAATGACTGAAAACACCGTGTACCTCCCATGATTGGTACGATCGATTTGAGGTTACTTGATTTTTGTCCCCCAACAAAACCAATCGTAACTAAAATCTTCTGACTGCGTGCAGAACGTAACGTGGCTGTTAACCTCGAATCAAAGGTAAAGAATTTTCCTAATCATTCAATTTGAAGTTGTCTTAACGTTTGTAAGTGTGCTGCACGGGCAGCGGAGTTAGAACACCATACTGTAGCGGTCGATCAACATTTAAGAATCAATTTGAGTAAACCTATCGAAAATCATACTGTATCAAATGAGTTATCTACTGACTCCAAATGTTCTGTAAACAGAATGGACCCGAAATGATCCTTAACATAAGAGTCCCTTAAGCATCATATGCGAAAAAGATGCAAGGGGTGTCACTCGGGTGAATTAAGGAATGGGTCACTAGAAATTTATAGGAGGGTGATGTGGTTCATGTGGTTAAGTTTTCGCTTTTAACTTTCATAAAAGCAAATCAGTTTCATTAAGAATGATATACTTTCTTAGCCCCTTGACTTGCCATACCCGTTTTTTGCTATTTTAATATTTTGATCCAATGCGACAACTCTTTAGAAAGATTTCTTTTAGTTTGATTCATTTTCTGTTTACGACTATAAGTACAAGGCTGATCGGAAATATTTTTTTCCTGCAAACGGTAACGTTTTCATCTTAGAGAGAAAGTAGGGCGAGAAAAAACGTTAAATCATTACAAAGGAATAAAATATTTTAACATTCTCCCCATTGATTTTAGATCTTTAGCATTAAAATAAATGAAAGAACAGCCAAGGATGTAAATTTGAGTAAACTGGTAGAAATGTTGAAGATTTGCCCATGCTGCAAATATGTATCAAATTTGTATCAAACCATTACATTTACTTCACTTTTGCGTATCAATACCTATCTAGCAAATATATGTATTTGCCCACACTTTAGCCGACAGCGCAAATGTAAAGCAAATTTGGAGCTCCAAATTTACCACATATTTGCACCTTTCGCAAACATTAGTAAATCCGTTTTTTCGTCCAGTGTTAACCACGTCTTGCTAACCCAGGATAAAAACGGCTTATAAGACCCTGTTTACATCGAGTGGGGGACCCCGGTCTAGTGGGGTAGGTTTCTTTTGTTTTGTGTCCCCCAGAGCGTGAAAACAAAAGAAACCAACCCCACTAGACCGGGGTCCCCCACTCCATGTAAACGGACCCTTTTTAAGCTAAGACATCGGTACACTTCACTGATCAGTGATCTACAGCCACCGCACGCGGGGGTCGTGTCAGAGCTTCGTTTAGCCCTTTGAGGTAGAGTCATTCCAATTTCTTCTCGCTTTTAACTTTGATATTCAGAAAAAGTCTGCTTTATTGAAAAGAAAGTTCTTTTAAAGCGGTATTCATGTAATTTACAGTTTTTTAGCTTCAGTCCCTTTTTCCCCTTAGAACAAGTTGAAATTCGATAAAATGATTGTGCAAAGGACATAATCAAACAGTTAAACATCTCTTAGACTACAATTTTAACTGAAGCTGGTATTCTTTTCTGCTTTTATTAACTTCCCATTATGCTTTTGTTTATCTGCTTTCATTTTTTTTTTCATGATATTTCTACTTTTCAGTACATTTTTCATCTTCTGAACGGACGTAACCTGAGTGGTGACGATGTTTTGCTTGCTTGCGGTGGTTCTGTTCGTTGTCTTTGCCAGTAATTTCAAGCCATCAGTGCAGGTAGTGCTGCAGTCTCTATTTTAAAGAGTTCAGAAGTGTTAAACTATTGAAAAGGAGCTTTCAGTAACGTTTCCATCGCCCATGTAAGAGGTATACAGTCAAAAGGTGTACCTTGGGGAGGGTTCAAGGGGGATTCGGACCCCCCCCCCCCATTTTCTCCTCTTTTTATTAATACAGCGACCGATAGTCAGTGGTACTTTGTAGACTGCAAAACAGTCGTTTTTTTTCTCAAAATCAGTAAAGAAATCGTGGCGTAAGAATGTGAGGCGTCTCTCCCCAGTATCGCTCCCTGTTTTCAGCCTCGTTCCAGACCTTTTGTTTGACTGTTCGCGTGTACTTGAAAACGCACTAGAAATACGGACTGTTTTGCAGTCTAGTACTATTGAGGTCAAATGCAAAAAAATTAGATGACTTGTATTCTTGTTGCGATGCAGTGGTAAGCTTTAACGACTTTGACTGAAACTTTGTTATAATCGGTAAGGAATTCGAAATCCCGGGTTATAAGTTGTTTAGAAAAGATAGAGAGAAACTTCTGACGTTGAATGACTTTGGCTGGAAATTCATATTCCAAGAAAGCCTAGAAGTCTTCTTATAGATACCTTTTATAGGCCAGCAAATTCTCCCAGTCACTTACTTATCAACAGTGAGCCTACTCGAATTGCTGCTAAAAACCTTATTTTCGTAATATAGATTTAACAGTTACAAATAATCCTCACAACATCAGTGGTTTCGGGGTGTTGTAAGGGCCAGTCGCAGCAATCATGAGATGATCTATTGCGTTCGAAAACTGAACTGGAAAAAGGTGCCAGCTTTGAGAACCACGCAATACACTACGTGATTTACCTGAACCTGCAAAATTCTTGCAGTACGACAGCGCACTCTGACCACTCTATGGACTGACCTTCCCTTCGCGAGTTCAGCATCCGTATAATCAAATTACTTTCTTGAGTATTCAATTCACAGACGAGTTGAATTAACCCCTTCCCTTTCAAAATGGCTAGATAACCCCCTAACAGAGTCCTCTCAGGAATTTTCACGGTTTCAAAAACATATCGATAACTAAAACTCGTGCACGAAAATTAAAATTGCTTTCATTGTGGGTACACTACACTGGTTTGGGTTGGTGGATGAAACTAATCCTATGGCAAATATCTTTGGCATAGTACTAGCTGTTTTTTAGTTCTAGTTTAGAAACTGAGAAATGGAATTTGGTCTTTGGGATAGAGGGGTAAAATATGATGATTTACTGATGAAGTAGCAATTAAACTGAAACTGATCTGTACATATTCTTGTTGTTTTGTAGACTGATCTGGTAACACTCGACAGCAGTAAGCTTAACCAAAAAATCAGTGAGTTGGAAAGTAAAGTCCAGGTAAGCCAACAGCCTAATTTTCACATAATCGAGAAAGGCGGATATTTTTATAAAGCGCAGTAAATTTCTCAAGAATTTCCGAATTTGAAACAGGTCCTCTTATTAAGAAACCGGGCCTCACCTTTCAGTGCCAATAGAGTGTTTTCACATGACGTCACGGCGGCCATGTTGGTGTCCCAAAACAATGAAGCGGCGGCCATGTTGGTGTTCCAAACCAGTCCTCTGGGAGTTGAACACTTTTCTTATGCAAACGCATTCTTTTGTTCCAATAAATTTGCATATAAGCTGGCCACGTGAGTGAAAACAATCTATTTTGCCGTATTTTACAATTATGTTAAACGGATTGCGAATAGCATAAAAACAAAATTTAAACAAGCAATGAACACCTTTTTTGGAGACAACAGCTACAATAAAGCATTCTCAGAGAGTACCATATACTGGCCACACTTATTACTAAATGGCATCAACTCATCCAAACGGATCTTTGAGACCGCAGAATACAATAGGCTATGACATAAATATGGCGTTGTTAACCTTTTTGTGCGAACAATTGTTTCGTGCTAGTTTGCTGAATTCGTCGCCTGCCTCAAGTCCGATAGTCTACTACACAGCAGTTTTTCGTCACTGATGTTCTGTCGTCACGCAACGCTCATCCCCAGCGTTGAAAGTCCGACTGAACCACGGGTACGTGAAATCAGTGCAAAATTCGCGAAAGTTTAGTTTTTTTCGCTCCAGGGAATCCAAAACGGCCATAAGTACTGAATTCTACGCCATGGATTCGAAATTCCAGTCTCTGTCAGTGGAACGTGGATTCTGGATTCCAATCGTTAGTGGAATTCCGGATTCTTTGAGCTGTATTCCGGATTCCAAAGCACAGGAATCCGGATTGCACAAGCAAAACTTTCCCAGATTCCGGAATTGAAAATCCGTTACAGTGGGCGAAACCGTATTTTTTTTCTTTAACGAATGCAGGCCCTGACAAGCAGACTGGATAGTGCCAGAGTGGAATGTGATGAGAAGGTTACACCTTGGGACGACAAATCAGATGGTTACATCAAGTACTTAGACCGTCAGAATGTTGAGTGCCCAAATGGTTCTTTCTTGGCCAAATTCCAACTTGCGAGGCAGGGAGATTATGGCTATTCCAAAGTTCGCTATCTTTTCCGTTGCTGCAAGTTTATTCTGTAAGGGCGCAGCCCAGACTTGTCACCAGTCAACAGTTGCCGTCAACTTAAGTCATAACAAGTAGAATAAAACGAACAAAAATAAAGTGAGACAACCTGTTCAACCATTTTGTTCTAGTTTATTTGCCATCACCTTTACATGCATGTTTATTTATGTTACCTAGATTCACATAATGGCTGCGGCGATCGGAAAAAGCCGTAGTAATCGGCTCCTGTAAAAAGCTAGTCTAAGATTCTGGAAGAAGATCCCCAAGTTAACGGTCACCAGTACTCAAGCACAATGGATGGCTAAAATTGGCTTGAATATCGTAACGTTTGCTATCCATTTTTCTCTGCTTGTAAATATGCGTAACCGTTTTCATTTAGATAATGTGGAAATGTTTTGCACTTGCCATTTCAAACCTAAGCCCACTCTGCTCTACGATGCTTTTTGCTGTAATGTTTTCACAGTTTCTTGCCCGTGGGTACATTGAGGATACTTAATAAGCATGCATTCGAAACCGTTCATCTATGCGCCTCCGATCTCGGAATAAATAATAGTTACAAGGTTGTACCAAATATACGTTTTTTCGAAATCCGACCGGGCCATACAAGTCTGCTCCACGGGAATCTAGTTCGCTGCTTCTTGGACATGGAATTTTACCTCCATTTTTAATAAGATAGTAAATAATTGGCCGCAAATTTCAGCTATTTATTTTGTTTGAATTCGAGAAAAAGCTTCCTAGGGGTGAATATTTGAGCATCATAGGTGCAGGAGGTGAAATTAAAGGAGGTCCACTGAAATGATAATCATAGAATTATTCTCCCGCCAGAAATCTATTATGCGTATTTTTAGACTTGGTGCATCAAATCAAAGAAACGCTTCCCAAATGATGGTTTAATAAAAATGCAGACTTACAGAATATTGCAACATATTTGCGGAATGACAGGTACAAATGTCTCTTTTCGGTACCTTCCATGTTTTAATCTTAATTTTTCTTAAGACAAATAATTTGTCTGCTCTGAAATAAATCAAGACCAAGGCGTTGTCTTGCCTCATTTTACCCAGAGCTAAGGTAATGCCAATTTTTCGATATTAAAACACCAATGAGTTACCTGAGTCTAGCAAGAGGTCCCAATGATAATTATAGCATTGATACGGGTACTAGTTCCTCTAGCAAGCTAGAGTGACTCTCACAACCAAACACGTCCTAAGATTAAACTTTTTATTATAAGGAGAATTACTCTTTCACTTCACAGTTCTTCACAACTTCCTCAATAACTTCTTTCTAACAACGTCTTTCTTCAAGTAATCTTGTGTCCTCTGTACTTCACTTTCTTTCTCTCAAAACCTACTCGTTCGCATCTCGCTATTTATTTGTTTGTTGGTCGTTGATCATATGTTTACGTTGATAATATATTTATATTCTTATTAACATATATTAACTTGTTACGCAAAATTCCTTTTAAGAGCCTTTCTCTGGTTCTGAAGGAGAATAACCAGTAAAGGAGACTAACTAAGCAGAGTTCAGTAAAAGGAACACACTTTTACGCAGCTACTTTTAAGTTACTTGGATCTTTGAAGCTAAAAAACCAAAAGTGCAAACTTCGTTAATTACAAACAGAGGACAACTCCCATATTAATAAATGTGAAAACAAGATAAATAGAGGGAAAACTTTACCAACAAAATCGAGCCGCATAACCCTAACTAGCTAAGTCAATTACTAAAAATGTGGAAATGTTCACTTAAAGGATAGGCATCTTCGAAGGGACGTCAAGTTCGGAGACAAGATGTCCCGCTCAAAAACCTCATTCCTATATGAACACACCAAAGGAGAAATTCTTAACTTAGTCAGAACATTCCTAAAGAGTCATAGAATGCACAAAGAATAACCTGAAAATACATGATGGTACAGATGGAGGTTGTCCTTGGTCAATAACCAACTAAGAAATGATACATATGACTGATCTGATTTCGTACATGGTGCAACAAGGCACACTTTTAATCTTTAATCTTTTAGATAAGAAGTTCATTAGCAAATGTTATTTATCTTCTTTGATACTTATTAATAAACAGTTAAAATGTTTCAGAACCTAGAAAGCTTCCATTAACCAGATACAATTGTCAGAAATCAATCGGCAGATTCCATTTTTCATGCTTTATCTTCTCATATTTTGAACATTGTTTAATGGCGTCATATTTTACTTATTCCGCAAAGGACACATTTAGATAAATCAAGTCAAATATCGGTTTCATTTTAAAGATCATTGGAAAGATATATAGAACTTCCATCAAGTTATAATATCTTTCATAAATCGGGGAAATACGTCCCGTGACTGCATTATTCTCTCGCAAAAAGCTTTTTGGCAAATATTTAGTCTTAATGCGTCGAAACCAAAGAAACGCTTCATATGATGATTAATCGGTGAAAATGCTAACGTTTCTTTGGCGTCGGTACCTTCTATGTTTTGAAATAAACGTTCTTCAAGATAAAAGGCGTTGTCTTGCCTCATTTTGGGCAATGACTTTGGTAGGAAAGATCATGTGCGAAGTTTCGAGTAAAAGCAGCCCATGACTGAAATATTGGAACAGCAATAAGTAGGAGGTCCCAATGTTAATTAGGATTATGCCTTCGTAAAATTCTTTCATGCTCAATGCGCCGAAACTAAAGAAACTTTCTTTGAGTTTTCTGAAGACAAATAGTTTTTCTTACCTGAGATAAACCTTCCTCGTGTCTTGCCTCATTTTAGACTACGCCTCTGACAGCTTAGGTCATGCGAGACATTTCGAGAAAATCAGCCCATAACTGAAATATTGGAAAACCAATGAGTACGTGAGCTGAGCAGGCTGAATAGTGTGGAACAGTATTCCCGACAGTGATCTTACTCCACCTAAATATAAATTTAAGAATACGCTACAGAGTCGGCTACTGGGCATTTTGATACAGGAAGATACTTATGTTGGCGTGCGTGCTTATTTTGACATATTTAGTAAATATTAAATTTTTATTTTAATTTCATTCATACCTTGTTTCATTTACCTGTTTTGAAATAAATGTATTTTTTGTCCTGTTAATTGCCAACGAGGCAACCGAGCTAAGAAGCTCGGTTGCCTCGGCGGCAGAATTACAACGCCGCGCAATGTAGGCCAATACTTTCAAATTCTGCCTAACCCTGTAAAATTTGCATTTTTGACCATATTTGGGTGTAACTAAGACCCCATATTTGAGTGGTGATATCATGGTCTTGTATTTACAACTCGTCGTCCGAAATTGGGTGATTCAGTGTGCAGCTGTTCGTTGTCTGTTTAAGAGGACCTAACAGGTGAGCAAGCTTTAATACGATTTCTAGTTTGAAAGGGCAATTGGTGCTCTTAATGGTTTGCTTTATAAATTGCGTTTAAAGCAGCAGCTGATCAAGGGATAGGGTTTTACGCTCAAATTTTTGTCAGAACCAGCTTGTTTTTTACAGCTCGATTTACATTGAGGTGGCTGTACGCTTCAGGACTCAGATCCAGGGTTTTCAGTGTCCTCTTTTCCTTTGTGAATTGAATTTTAAGCGGTTGTTGATCAAGGCATAGGGTTATATTCTCAAAAATTTTATCTTTTAAATGTCTTTCGAGATATTTTGTCAACCAGCATGTTTTTTTTGCTGCTCGATTTACATTGAGACAGCCCAAAACTCCCGCCGCTGGGGAATGCAACGAATTTGCGGACCTTTTGTTTTGAAGACTATCATTATGCCTTTCAAGAGACTCTTTGTCCTGTGACACTCGCTCATTAGATCTCTGTATTTTATCCAGGTTTATATTTTTATACCTCTGATACATTCCGCCCCATTCTTGCCCTTCTCACACATTTTACTTTACACCAATTTTTTTCTGGTGTATATTACCACGCGAAATATTTTTCTTATCCCTGTTGCTCGGCATTTAATTATTATTTTTAATTTCAGCAGTCAAAGACCTCATTTAAACTATATTTTTCTTTCTAACGTTTATAGTTTTGCTACAATGGAATTTTCCAACAAACATAAGTGCTAACTTGCTCATATTTACCAACAAACTTTCAAGCCATGTTGTGATTGTTTAATAAAAGTGAAAGCCTTAAATGTGCCAAAGTTGTTGTTTTGAACTTGGGTGCCATCCTTTTCTTTTTCGGAATCCATTTTAAACCTCTAAAATTATGAAAAAAATATCGCGAAGATCTGAATAGGCACATTCCACAAAAGATAAACAAATTCGCCTCGTTGGCACTTGCCGGAAGGTACACCTAGTTTAGAACTTGGCATTCCTTTTAACAGCTGTAAATGCACTGTCTTTTAAACAGGAATAAATCAAAAACAAAAACGATACCTGAACGATTTCTTGACTTTCTAAGAAATGATACATATAACTGATCTGATTTCGTACATGGTGCAACAAGGCACACTTTTAATCTTTAATCTTTTAGATAAGAAGTTCATTAGCAAATGTTATTTATCTTCTTTGATACTTATTAATAAACAGTCAAAATGTTTCAGAACCTAGAAAGCTTCCTACAACGATATATATCAGTATTTATGTCGAATTAACCAGATACAATTGTCAGAAATCAATCGGCAGATTCCATTTTTCATGCTTTATCTTTTCATATTTTAAACATTGTTTATTGGCGTCATATTTTACTTATTCCGCAAAGGACACATTTAGATAAATCAAGTCAAATATCGGTTTCATTTTAAAGATCATTGGAAAGATATATAGAACTTCCATCAAGTTATAATATCTTTCATAAATCGGGGAAATACGTCCCGTGACTGCATTATTCTCTCGCAAAAAGCTTTTTGGCAAATATTTAGTCTTAATGCGTCGAAACCAAAGAAACGCTTCATATGATGATTAATCGGTGAAAATGCTAACGTTTCTTTGGCGTCGGTACCTTCTATGTTTTGAAATAAACGTTCTTCAAGGTAAAGGCGTTGTCTTGCCTCATTTTGGGCAATGACTTTGGTAGGAAAGATCATGTGCGAAGTCTCGAGAAAAAACAGCCCATGACTGAAATATTGGAACAGCAATAAGTAGGAGGTCCCAATGTTAATTAGGATTATGCCTTCGTAAAATTCTTTCATGCTC